TAAACCTTAATATTCTATACATTGCAAGCTAAGTATTTGTACAGCTCTGTACATTTTTCTGATTTTATAACAGGCAGTGTATGCTTTCTCTAAAACAATTTGGCAATTTATGCCAAAAAACCCTGTCATTTTCCTTTTCCTGTAAACTATATTTTCATGGCTATTTTAAACAAATAATCTATACTCTTGTAATTATTTCTGCCTAAAAGTGCTTTCCTCTGAAATGATGTATTCACATGCAACCTTATTCAAATGTAAACTGGTGCTTCTAGGAAAGAGATTTTTCAAGAGAAAAAAGAAGTCTGTGTATAAACAAGGATTGATCATGCCAAGAACGAAGGGAGAATGGACTAATCAAAATTCACTTTGCCTCAGATTTTGCACAGTTCAGACCTAAATCATGCACCAGTACAAATAAATCCACAAAATGGGGGGGGAGGGGGAGGCAGTTATGATGTCTTAGGGGAATTATTTGTAGGAATCTAGCTACAACTGGATAGTAAAAAAGGACCATTAGTATGGCAAAATGGGCACTTCACACAACTAAGGCTAGTTTCACATTGATGCGGATCTGTGAGAGTGTTTTGCACGGGCACGAATTCATTTGGATCATATCAATCAGTGCTGTGCAGAACTATATAAAATAATTTAAATGAAACTAACCTGTATCATGTAACAAATGTATCTCCATAATAAATTCCAAGAAATTATATACCATGTCCATAATTATTAACAATCTTATTCAATTAGAACGTGAATGTCCATGATTATTCTCTTCCAATAGTGCTGTATACCCTTAAGCTTTCTATCACTGTAGATATTAATCACTGAAACCTACTGCCTTGTAATGTGCGAAGCCCATCACCAGCACTCCAATACTCTCATCTTATACTTTGACTCAATAAAAATTAGGTCTGATGTGCTTTCCCTTTAAACAGGGTATCATATGCCAGGGGTGTTGTTTCCCTCTGCTCTGCTCTGCTCCACCTCCGGCAATCCTTCAGTTATTATAAGTGGGAAGCTCAAAAAAGAAAAGAATATATAGTGCTCTCTGTAGGACCACTATTATTTTTTTATTAGAAAAAATGCAACTTTAAAAGTACACTATTGCTTGGTGCAATTACATGCATTTGAATGGGCTGCCATGCCGCGTGTAATACAGGAAAAAAGGTCCCTGCACCATTTCTTGAAAGGAAGAATGTCACCAGCACACCGAGGATCACCAATATGGGTCCAAATGTTTTAATGAACAATCACATAGTTACAGCAAGGCAATGTTTCGGAGTCTCGCAGGTCCCCTTCAGCAGGCACGTGACCACCTGACACCGAAAAAGCATTTGGATTGGATACAGTCACTGACTGATTAAGGGAAATCAAATGCTTGAAGAAAAGACAGATTGATCTGGAGCTGCACGGCCAGACTCTGAGTGCTACAGAGCAAGATAAATTCTGAGGGGTTTCTGGATTAGAAATCAGTTCACCAACAGACGTCATAAACAGGATTTCTGTGAAAAATGGTGTGAGGTTTCCACCTAGAACTCATTGAACTATATGTTACTAATTATTGAAGAGGTCAAGGTTCAGCTGTGTCAAGTGAAATGTGAACTTGCAGTGTTGGAATTACACACAGGATACAGAAACTCAGACCTCTGCTTTGCAGGAGATTGACGAGATTGACACATATACCATAAGACAGAAAGGGACAAATTTAAACAGGTAAACCAGGACTACCAAGAAGGTAGAGCTTTTACCCATGGTTAACTGGGACCTCTAGGCCCAGGAGGAGATTAGGTACCCGGCCTCTACCCCAGAAGCCAACAAATGAAAGCCCCCAGATTTCATCTGAGAGTGAACGTCTAACTGGGAATCCATCTACAGACAGCAAAGTCGGCACATATGGTTGCTCCATACCCCCCTGTTACTGAAAGTAGCACACCCCTTTTTCAAAGGGTCAGAGATGGCGAAGAACCAGGAGAGGCAACAAGAGGTCGCAGATATCAAACATGCAGCAACCGCCAATGCACGGACAGAGTCCATTAATCTATCATCCAGACACATCACAAAGGGTGTGTCCTGTCTCTTGTCTAAAGGTCTGTCATTCTGTCCTGTTTCAAGGTTTAATGACTTCAACTTTGAAATAGAAATGTTCAAGTTTGAAGTTACAGTTAAAATTATTAATGATGCAGAACATGGAAACAGAGTCTACGTCAATCTGTTGAGCTGTAAATGAGGATGATTTGGATATAATCTCTACCCTGTGTCAGGTCTTTCTGGGTCACAGTGGATAATAATGCAGAGGAGGCAGTTTTATGACTTTGAATAGTTGTGGTGGCACAGATCTTTTATCATATGTGAGTGGTTTCTTTAAAGTCTAGCTCCAAGTATTCTGAAAATTCCTCCTTGAAATTGTGTTTAACCAGCACTGCAAAGGCTAACTGCTCGTTTAGGTCTAAGGGAGAGTAAAATCATTTTCCTTACCCAATCCTCCAATTCCCAGCAGATGTCATTCCCCCATGCTCTGACTGGGACCCTCTCTCAACATCATCAAGTCAAGTGTTGTAACGGACCGCCTGACAGTACCTCTATCAGTCCCCTGATAGAGCCTCCCCAGAGTACGAGTCTAAGTACCGGAGCACTTGTTCACCAGGGCCCCTGATGGTGGGAATGGACTTGGAGCGCTCCGGGACCAGGTTGCAGCTGCTAGGTATCTCTACCAGAGGTAGAGGAGTCTGCCAAGGGCTCCAGCGGGTTAAGAGTCTGATGTGAGGGAGCCCAGGGATCCCTGAGGGATGGATGGACGGATGAGCAAAGTCAGAGTCAAACAAGCCGGGTCGGTAACTAGCGGGTCGGTGAGGTACAAGACGATAGGCAAAGGATAGTCGGGTCACACGCAGGGTCAATACCAAAAGATCAGATCTATAAGGGAACATCCAGGAGCAGAGTAAGGCAAGCCAAGGGGTCAGGACAGGGGAAAGCAACAAGGTCAGACAATCCAGATCAGAGTACTCACAACACAGGCAACAGGATACAAAAAAAACATTCGGCAACAAGCGTCTGTGCAGGGCTGGTTTAAATAGCCCGCCCTGCACCTGACAGGCGCGCCGCCTAGGTCCCAGTGCCTGCCTAGTACTGTCAAGACGACGGGTGTGCCTGGGTCCTAGTGCCCTGCTACCTGCACGTCTTGACAGACGCCTACGCATGTGTAGACCCATGCGTCGCGATGGTCCCTGACAAGTGTAGAGCTATGGACCCTGCTTTTGTATTGATGATGTCAGGACTCAAGACAACTGTGTGGGGAAGAAGATGCTGAGGGTACCCGTATAGCAGCTTAAAGGAAAAGAATACTGGGCAAGCAAATCTTCTTTTCTATGCTCCCTAAACCAAATGAGCAGGTAACTCATGCAGTACGGGTGCAGTCGCACTGCAAGGAAGAGTTATCATGTTTCCCAGAGTTGGGCTTTTAGGAAACTATAAACTTGGATTTGTGTCCATTGGTTTGCTGATCCTGAATGGCAACAACATGTGTAAATGCAAAGCACGACTCATTATTTAAATATGTGTTTCTGGAAAAACAACTAATAATCAAAAAGAAAAAAAAGTAAAAAGAAAAGCCTATTTGAACTCTCCCAATGTCCCAAACTGTTCTTATTTAAATCATTTATATAACTCACGAACTTGGCAATGTTGTTATATTTTATTTGTATTAATGTTTTCTTCAATAGATTGAGCTTGCCATAAAACACTAAGTCATGTGCTCTTTAACAAATTCACACTAAAAATGCCTTGCAAATTAATTTCTCACCTAGTGCATTTGTGTTGTGTTGATAACAGCATTGCTGTTGAGATGGAAATTTCTGGCCAAGGAATGTCCTGCTGTTATTAGCATTTCATTTGCTGGCCACTTGCCTTCACATATTTTGCAATGGCTATGTGGAGAGCTGGCTGGAAAGCATCATGTGGAAAAGGGATCCATTGCCTATTATAATGATGGTTTGTCCTGCCAAACAATCTGAAAGTGGCCTTTTCACCATAATAAACTTTGAAGAGCAAGATTGTGCAAATGTCATACTAATCCAGTCTAAAAACTCAAACTAAAGAGCTCTGGGATTTTAACAGGTGATATAATTCACACCAGGAAGAATAAGAAATTGCATACATCTTACAAAATTATAAGTTTAAAGGGTAACTGTATGTGTAAAACATGTGGAGGTAATTCATTGAAGCATTTGTGACACTTTTCTGGTGGTATTGTCCCTCTACAATGTCCTACACAAAATTCATTAAAGGTTAACGACAATTTCGGTAACAGTTTCAGCATGTTATGAGAGATTCGTGTAGTTATTATTTGCTTTACTTTTATAATGTGTTGCTATGGCTGTGACAAATTCAGAAAAAATTACCTCCCATTTGTACATAATGAAACTGGAGGTAATTAAGCCCAACTCAAAGTTAGCGTACAGACAGGCTAGAGTTATTGGGAAAGGGAAGGTGTTGCACTGTTACATTTATTATGGTTTTTTTTATTGTTTGTCAGTACCTAGGCCACCAGCGTCCTATCATCCAATGACGCACACTGATAGTGGACAGAGCCTGATGCAATGGGTGGACAAATTCTATAGCTGCTATGCAGTCTTATGGTGGTTATGGAATCTGTCCACTGCCAATTACAAGGGAGGTGGACCTGATGAGAAACTAGTTTCCCAGCAATTCCATCAAGCTTCACCCAGTCACAGCAAAACTTATCAGTCACTGTGTCTGTCAGTGTGATAGGCACAGTGACAAAGGAGGGGATTTACTAATGGTAAGCCTGTAATTTTATCAGGATGCTCAGTACTGAGCAGGGGTGGACTGACCATTTGGAAACTCGGGCACTGCCTGAGGGCCTGGGGTCAGTAGGGGGCCCCATGAGATGCCCCTGGTACCTTTTTCATAGGATTTTTTGAGTTTGGGCAAGGACACAGGGGCCCCATGATCCCCTATTTCCCAGGGGCCCCATGAGTTGTCAGTCTGCCCCTGATACTGAGCTTCACTAAGGATAGAGTCTCCAGTATGGACACACACTGGTCTTAGTGCCAACTGCCTCCTATGGCAAATTAATGTAACCTGTTACCAATAGGTACACAAATCCTTCACAAGCATTAATATTTGTGGTATGCAGTTGCAACTGAAGTGTTATGACACTTTTTTTTAATCCCAGGGTGTATATCTCTTTAACCACTTTAACCACCTGTACTATGTCCACAGTCTCTGGTCATCCCCTGTACTGTGTCCACAGTCTCTGGTCATCTCCTGTACTGTGTCCGCAGTCTCTGGTCATCTCCTGTACTGTGTCCGCAGTCTCTGGTCATCTCCTGTACTGTGTCCGCAGTCCCCTCTGGTCCGCATCTCTGGTCATCCCCTGTACTGTGTCCGCAGTCTCTGGTCATCTCCTGTACTGTGTCCGCAGTCTCTGGTCATCTCCTGTACTGTGTCCGCAGTCTCTGGTCATCTAATGTACTATGTCCGCAGTCTCTGGTCATCTCCTGTACTGTGTCCACAGTCTCTGGTCATCTCCTGTACTGTGTCCGCAGTCTATGGTCATCTAATGTACTATGTCCGCAGTCTCTGGTCATCTCCTGTACTATGTCCGCAGTCTCTGGTCAGATTACGTGCTTCAAGGGACAGACCCTCTTCGACAGAGGGGCCATGCATGGGGCCAGGATATATTGAATACTACTGTATCCCAGAAGCTACATTTTCCCTTAATCCATCATGACCTAAAATTCAGATGTTGGCTTCTCATTGTTATACTGTAATAGATTTTAAAATATTTTACTAGTTAAAGCTGAACTCCAGTCTTACTATACGTCTTGCACCATTGTATAGGCTCTTCTCCTGTAATGAAATGGATTAGGCTGAATATGTAAAGCATCGTCTTGCTCTTCTCCCCAAAGTCTGACCTTTCATTCACTGGATTTCACGGTTTACAGTCATGGAGGCTCAACATCACATCTGAGCATTACCTAGGGAGGTCTGCATGCAAATGTAGCCTACTTAAGAATGCCCACTCCTCCAGACTGACATCTAATTATCAAGGCATTTTGATTTTTGCATTACTATTCCTAAGAGTTAGCCAACTGCTTGCATCAGGGCTATTGACTTTTGAGAGAAGTACTGAGGCAGGGTGTATTTGGAAACTATGTACAGCACCCTACTGGCCTCTTACTTCTTGAATTGCATAGAGAAGCACAGATACATAGTAAGGAAATCCCTTGATCTGAAATAAAGTGTGTAATGAAAACAGAAAGCTTTTATTTAAAAGTATTATTGACATATTGATGTGGAGGACAGGAGAAACCAGGGAAGACAAAATAAAAGCAGATACAACTTTTAACATGGTTTTGGTTGTCTCAATTTAAATCAACATGTAAATATATAAGGCAATAAAATTTCACTTCACAAAAAAAAAATCTGGGATACCCTTTTAATAAATCAGAAACCTTAGTAGGTGACTGTTCCCACTATTAAACTCATCCACGAAGAAAACTCTTTTGTATAGTAAAAGCAATAAAGAATTTCTGTTAGATGCATTTATTTTAGAGAGGTGACCCAAACTGTGGGGAGGTCATTCAGCCCATAGAGTAAATGCAGTGTAATTCTCTGTGAAGGGCACCGTATCCTAGACTGTGCACAATGCCCCTAAGTTAATGAAGGCTTTAAAAGACTATTTCCTAAACCACAGAATTTTAATTCCTTTCAAAGTACCAAAGTACAGATATATAATTTGACAAAAGCATCTTGTCTTTTTACTTAGGCTGGCCTAAGTGAATAGACAAGCCTGTACAACAAAAAAAAAAATCCAACAAGCCTGTACAACAGAAGTCCATTATTAGACAACTTCTGTTAAGCAGGAGCAGGCACATATGGATCGAAAATCAGCCGCTGTCTGTTTAACTGATTAAATTATGATCCTGCTATTACCAAATTTACATATAGAGAAAAATCTAAAAAAAACACAACACCAAACATAAGTAGGTGTAATAAAACATACATATTTATTGTTGTACACACAATTTAAAAATTCTTATTTATCAGAGACATATAGGAATAATCATAAAAAAATCATAATAAGTGGACTTTATATTCAAATTAGTCCCAGTAAGCCAATGCATTTCGCAGATATACCACTTCCCCAGGACAAGGACACAAGATATTTTTAAATAATGTGTACAATAAATATTTACATTTTTATTATACATACGTATGCTTGGAGTTGGTTTTTTTTTTCCCTGGCAGCACATTTAGTGCCCATTCACATCTATGTGGATTGGATGCGGTTTAAACCGTATCCAATCCGCATGACATGTGAGAAAACATTGCTTCCTATGGAGCCTGTTCACATATGTCCGGTGCAGGGGCGGACTGACAACTCATGGGGCCCCCGGGCAATAAGGGGATCATGGGACCCCTGTGCCCTTGCCCAAACTCAAAAAAAGCCTATGAAGAGGTACCAGGGGCATCTCATGGGGCCCCCTACTGACCCCGGGCCCTCCGGCAGTGCCCAAATTTCCAAATGGTCAGTCCGCCCCTGGTCCGATGCACTGGCAGTGTGGTCCAGTTCAGGTGCAGATTACAGGCTATTGACTTCTATGGAAACCTTTTTTTAACTGAATATGTGTGAACAAGATACAGTGGATATAAAAAGTCTAAACACCCCTGTCAGGTTTCTGAGATGTAAAAAAATTAGACAAAGAGAAATAATTTCAGACCTTTTTCCACATTTAATGTGATCTATAAACAACTCAATTGTATAACAAACTGAAATCTTTTAGGGGGGGGGGGGGAGAGTAAACATAAAAAGCTAAAATAATGTGGTTGCATAAGTGTGCACACCCTCTTATAACTGAGGATGTAGCTGTGTGCAGAATTAAGCAATCACATTCAAAATCATGTTAAAAAGGAATTAGTACACACCAGAGGTGGACTGACAACTCATGGGGCCCCCGGGCAATAGGGGATCATGGGGCCCCTGTGTCCTTGCCCAAACTCAAAAAAGCTTATGGAAAAGGTACCAGGGGCATCTCTTGGGGCCCCCTACTGACCCCGGGCCCTCGGGACAGTGCCCGAGTTTCCAAATGGTCAGTCCGCCCCTGGTACACACCTTTCCTTCATTTAAAGTGCCTCTGATTAATCCCAAATAAAGTTCAGCTGTTCAAGTAGGTCTTTCCTGACATTTTCTTAGTCACATCCTACAGCAAACGTGGTGACAGCAGCATGCTCGGGGACTGTTTTTCTTCAGCTGGAACTGGGGCCTTAGTCAAGGTAGAGGGAATTAAGAACAGTTCCAAATACCAGTCAATATTGGCACAAAACCTTCAGGCTTTTGCTAAATATCTGAACATGAAGAGGAACTTCATCTTTCAGCATGAACATGACCCAAAGCATACATCCAAATCAACAAAAGAATGGCTTCACCAGATGAAGATTAAAGTTTTGGAATGACCCAGCCAGAGACCAGACCTGAATCAGATCGAAAATCGTGGGGTGATCTGAAGAGGGCTGTGCACAGGAGATGCCCTCGCAATCTGACAGATTTGGAGTGTTTTTGCAAGGCAGAGTAGGCAAATATTTCCAAATCAAGATGTGCCATGCTGATAGACACATACCCAAAAAGACTGAGTGCTGTAACAAAATCAAAAGGTGCTTCAACAGAGTATTAGTTTAAGGGTGTGCACACTTATGGAACCATATTATTTTTGTTTTTTATTTTTACTTCCCTCCACGTAAAAGATTTCAATTTGTTGTTCAAATGAGTTGTACAGTTTATAGGTGGAAAAGTTTTGAAATGATTTATCTTTGTCTCATTTTTTTACATCACAGAAACCTGACATTTTAACAGGGGTGTGTAGACCTTTTATATCCACTGTAAGATCCTGAGCTAATCTTGTCCTGAACCTGATGCAAAGCTGACATGAACCTGTGAACAATGTCTGTATCAATTAGCTGTGAATCCTGAGCTTCAATCCACACTGCACATGTGTGAATAAGCTCTTTAAGTGCTGTTTTTTGATCTAACAGATGACCAGCAACAGGCAGGATAAATGTTAGAGCAGTGTAAGTACTCGGACAGATGGTTAAGGCAGATGACAGATCGTACAGTTAAGTTAAAAGCAAGGCAGGCTCAGCCAGAGGTCAAGTTCTAGATAGGTAAAAGAAGCAATGATAAATGATAGCAAAGGTAAAAGATAATGACCAAGATAAACACAACCAAGTTGGGTACAAGCAACCTCCAAAAAACACACAAGAAAAATCCAAGGAGATAAAGGTCACACAGAAGGTGAAGACAAACAGGCCTCTATCCAGTTTTATATACACAAAACAGCGCACAACTATCCTTCACAGAACTTCATATATTCTCACCAAATTCTTCACAATAAAACTGCACTGTATATCATATAATCTTCACTATCTTTTCTTCTTAATCATCTCCTCCACTGCTCCCAATCTCAAAAACAAGAAAACTAAGATAGTGTGTTAATTCCACACATAATGAGATACGTGATACACTGGTGTGCCAATTATGCACGCAAAAAAAATTGTAAATACAAAACACTTTATGAATAGTATACACCACTATCCACACTAATTACTCTTACCCTCACAGGGTGAAAATGTACATATGATTCCTTATCAATATTATTATTATTATTACATCGAGTTTATACAGCGCCAAAGGGTTTACTCAGCGCTGTACAATAGAGGAGGGGGACAATACAAGAAACAGAAAAGCAACAACAACAGTACACGAGGGGGTTAGAGGGCCCTACTCTTTCGAGCTTACAATCTAGGAGGGAGGGGGTAGTGGCACAGGAGGAAGTGGCTGTGGGGGATGGAGTGGTAGGAGAAATGAAGGAGAACGGCTGTTAGGGGAGGGAGGGGTAGGCTTCACTGAAGAGGTGGGTTTTCAGGGAGCGCCTGAAGGTGAGGAGCGAAGGTGACAGTCTGATGGATTGGGGCAGTGAGTTCCAGAGGATGGGGGAGGACCTGGAGAAGTCTTGCAGTCGTGCATGGGAGGAGAAGACCAGAGAGCAAGATAGAAGGAGGTCCTGTGAGGAGTGAAGGGTACGGGTAGGGTGGTACTTGGGAATCAATATAGCTTATCCTCTTGATTAAAATGCAACAGTGCACCATCCACCTCCAGTGTGCAAACCAATACGCATGCTCTTCCCTTCCCCTTTTAGGCATGCACTCTTCTCTTCTCAATGATTCTTCATGAACTCTCAATCACCATATAAAATCAAACATACAAGCCCATAGTGCAGCAGAAGTGTAAATTTACTTTTTTATTGTTACGTGCTTACATGAAAGAAAAGTACAAACAATATGTACCAAAATGGCCACCACAGCATTTCCAGTTATGACTGACGCGTTTCATCATCAAATTGAGTTCCTCTCAGAGTGAAGATTGCACTGAGTATTGAAAGCACATATCGATGTATGCATGGTAAGGTGCATGCCTAAAAGGGGCAGGGAAGGGAAGAACACGCGTATTGGTTTGCACACTGGAGGTGGATGGTGCACAGTTGCACTTTAATCCAGAGGATAAGCTATATTGATGGGGATTCATATGTACATTTTCACCCTGTTAGGGTAAGAGTAATTAGTGTGGGATAGTGGTGTATACTATTCACAAAGTGTTTTGTATTTACACTTTTTTTTGTGCATAATTGGCACATGTGTGTATCACATTATGTGTGGAATTACTACACTATATTATTTTTATGTTTTTGAGATTGGGAGCAGTGGGTAGATGATTAAGAAGAAAAGATAGTGAAGATTATATGATATACAACATATTCTTATTGGGAAGAATCTGGTGAGAATATATGAAGATCTGTGAAGGATGGTTGTCTGTGTTTTTTTGTATATAAGACTTTTATGCCCAGGGGGGTGTTTGGATTTCATCTGCACACTATTGACTTTGGGCACTTGTGGCAACTAAAAGACCTCTATCCAGGGCAGAATCAAACAGACTAACCCGTTGATTAGACAAAGGCTGAGTTCCTACCATTCTTAATTATGGTACAGGTGACTTGATGCTGCTGTACTAACAACCAGCAGGTGGAGAAGCTCAAGGCTGACCATATTATGACACTGACACCCATACATATTGGCCTGTTGACTTGGAAAAAGTATGTAGGATGAGAGCATGGGTTTTTTCATACTTCACTGGTTGCTTTCTTACTTCAGGTCAGTGACTCAATAGTGAAGCTAAGATTATGAGTCCCCAGAATTTGAACCTTTTAAAATATGTCTACAAAGGCAGATTAGTATCTATCCTCACAAGTTTCCTTAAAAAGTAGCATGATCTCAATAGTTAATACATCAATACCAATAAGGGGTGTTGCCAGCACTTTCTTTTCTTTGCTTCTATTCTGACATAGAAACACAACAATTTGCCTTTCTTACACAGAGACATTTGAACAGGAAAACAGTTGTATCTTGATTTTGATGTGGAACTTCATGAACTGGGCTGACCTGAGATTTCTGAAACAGGCTCTCTGGGTAACTACAATGCCAAAACCATCTAGTGATGGCTGAGAAGCAAGTGTTCACAAACAAACAAGATTATTGGCAATAGCAGAGATGTTGATTATTATCCAAATCTAAGCTGTGAAACTCATTCTGGCATTTATAGTAATAACGGAAAAAATATTGCATATTATCTGTACAGTGTATTGTATGTATTATACTGTTCAAAGCAGTTAAAATTAGAGAGGTGCCAGTTAGGCTGGGTGGAGCAGGGGTCTCTACACACAGGAAAATAAGACTTTCAATGGCCTCATCTGTAAGCGTAAATATAAAAAATTATAGACCTGAAATGAAACTAGTTTACCAAATAAATGGGCTTTAGTGGCACAACGTAAGATACATCCAAGACTATCATAAAAACACAAACTTTATTCACATAAAATTATATAAAAACAGAGCATAAAAGCAGAATAAAGCCTCCTAATATTTCATGGGGGTAAAAGCCCTCTAGTTTGTTGTGACTCCAAGTGAATGGAAGTGAATCACTTGATCCCATTATTATATATGGGTGAATGGGATGTTATATGGGTGTCTCTTATGGTGTGCCTCTAAAATCCTTTTATTTGGTCTCTACATACATCACACTTTTTGCAAAGGACATGCCTGATCTGAGCATTGTATCAGATCATTGGGTAAGGATTGGGTCATGTAGGTGTCAACTGGGACAGCATACATTTGTGAGGTTGAAGGTGTCAGTGATAAACACCAGGGCCGATTCTATTGCACACCCAAACCATATCTAAGAATTCACCTGTTTCACATTCACATTTATGACAGATAGGGGTGGGATGTTTATGAATTTTAAACAAACGAACTGGAGTATATTATGCTCTATGCAAATAACATAGTTGAGTAGGTTTATCCCTGGCTGAGATTACTGTCCCTGAGTGGGAACCAAGCAATTCCTGCCAAGTGTCAGGGGTAAGATCTGACACATCCCCTGACCACTTATTCTGAAAATGTTGGAGGCGGGAGTGAAATTTATTCATAAGCAGGGAGTAATAAGTGGAAATGAACTGTGTGTTATCAGGCTCGAGCTTCGAGTTATTATTATTATACAGGACTTACTATATATAGCGCCAACAGTTAGCTCAGCACTTTACATTATGGAGGGAGACAGTACAGTAACAATACAGTTCAACACAAGAGGGATTAGAGGGCCCTGCTCCTTGGAGCTTACAATCAAGGAGGGAGGGGATAGTGGTACAAGAGGTAATTAGCTATGGGGGATGGAGAGGTAGGAAGAGCAGAGGATTCCAGTATTAGCTGGGGTTGGGGTAGGCTTCCCTGAAGAGATGGGTTTTCAGAGTGCGCCTAAAAGTGAACAGAGTAGGCGATAGCCTGATAGATTGGGGTACTGAGACAAACATTGCAGAGTCTGAATTGTGCCTCCGCAGCATGTCTAAGTTGTGTGTAACAAAACAGCCACTGTAGTGGCACATGTAGTCCCTGACAGAGTTGTGCAAAAGATTTGAAGATGCCCCTTTGTATCATTGATGTGAATAGGTTAGCCCATACCTTGCTCATAATTGACCACTGGGGGGGTGAAAGAAAATGTGTT